ACAGGACTTGGCACCTGCACACAGTGCCAAAGCTACCAGTACCTGGTTTAAGGACCATGGTATCCCTGTTCTTAACTGGCCAACAAACTCGTCTGAACCTTAACCCCATAGAAAATCCATGGAATATTGTGAAGAGGAAGATGTGATACACCAGACCCAACAATTCAGAAGAGCTGAAGGCCACGATCAGAGCAACCTGGGCTCTCAACACCTGAGCAGAGACACAGACTGATCAACTCCATGCCACGCTGCATTGATGCAGTGATCCTGGCAAAAGGAGCAACAACTAAGAATTGATGCTGTACATGCTCATACTTTTCATGTTCATACTTTTCAGTTGGCCAACATTTCTAAAAATCATTTTTTTATTGGTCTTAAGTGATATTCTAATTTTATGAGCAGCACGTGTATGTCATTGTTCAATAATCTGAATTGAAGCCACAACGGACAAACAGATATCTTCACCTTTGACTCTGGATTCCTTTGGTGTACAGAGGAGTTTGTGATGGACTCAACCACTTGAGTTGTGCTGGTCCTTTGGCTGCAAACCCTCAGCCTCCTACCTCCATGCTTGACCATTGGTTTGAGGTGTTGTTTTCCCCCCACATCTCTACTTTGTCTCATGTGTTCAATTGTCCCACACATCCTGTGCTACGTTTAGATCAAACCTTACAATCCAAAGTTGTTCTGCCGTGTTCTTTTCACACAGAAGAGGGTTTCTCCTGCAACACTTGGAAACAAACCGTTCTTGTCTGTTTCTGTCTGTCCAGTCGTGACCCCCTGACTGAGGACTGTAGTGTTTGAAGTGGAGCTACTGGGTTTTTGTCATTCTTCTGAGCTTTGCACAGTCTGACCTTGGGGTGAATTTGTTGGGACATCTACTCCTGGTGTAATTTGCAGCTGTCTCAAATGTTTTCCGTTTATGAATATTCTTTCTCTCTGTGAAACAATGGACTTCAAACAGTTAGGAAATGATCTTTAACTGATTGGCAGCAATAGATGACTCTCTCTTTTTTCTTTTTTTTAATTTGGTTTTTTTCATATATGAATCATAGAAGATATACATTCAAACATACATTAAAGAGTTCCCACCCACAATCACCACCCCCATCCACAATTAACACTCAGGGTTTCAAAAAATTAATTTAAATAAATAAATAAATAATTAAAAAAAATATATATATAGTAAATATAATAATAAAGAAAAACAATAATAATAATAAAAAAGGTACAAATGCATAATATTAAACACGTACAAATGTTTAGAAAAAGGTTTCTATCATCCAATTCTAATGCCTAGATAGAGTATCACTCTTATATCGAGTTGTATGAATTATTATTAATCTTATTGGGTGCTGCTTTTTTATTTTGTTCCATTCCATTCTTTCACTTCAGCTTGTTTACTTTCCAAAAATTGCTTGAAGGTGTCCCGTATTGCCTTAAATTCACCGATCTTTCCTTTAAATTCACCGATCTTTCCTTTAACCATATATGTTAATTTCTCCAAAGCAAGGAAAGAAGCCATTTCCCGTAGCCACATTGCAGTTGTAGGACTGTCCATACTTTTCCATTTCAAAGCGATTACTCGTCTGGCTTGCAGCATACATAAGTCGATCAAAGGTGCTGTTTTGTGGCTTGGTACAATGTCATTAGGATAGATAGCTAATATACAGAACTTTTCCTCAAAAGGAACCTCTATAGCAGCTATAAGTGAGATCAGATCAACTGTGTTCCTCCAAAATATCTGAATCTTTGGGCATTCCCACATGCAGTGCACCAATGTGCCAATATTAACATTACATTTAGGACAGTTATCAGGAATGTCAGAATTAAACTTGTTAAGTTTTACAGGTGTTATATATATCCTGAACAGCCATTTATACTGTAACAATTTTAATGCTGTGTTAATAGTCTGCATTTGTGCTTTTAAGCAAACATGTTCCCACTCAGCCTGAGTAATATCTACTCGTAGGTCATCTCTCCAGGCATTAAGTCTTGATTGTGAAGTATCTTTAGATCTGTATCTCAACATAGCATACAATAGTGATGTTTGTCTTTGATTATCTTCATTATTTACAATGAGTTTCTCAATTTTTGAGAGGGGCGGCTCCTCTAAGTTGTGGACCTGTGATGTTATAAAACTTCTTAACTGTAAATACTTAAAATAGTGCTTTCTAGGGATGGAATATCTGAACCAGCTGGTCAAAGGTCATTAGTCTACCATCTGCATATAAATCAACTATTTTTCCTAAACCTTTGTCTGCCCATTGCTTAAATCCAACATCAACTCTGCCAGGTGCAAAATAATAATTTCCCCATATCGGTGAAAATTGTGAAAGGTTAGGTACATCCTTTATATATGCATGTACTTCGTGCCAAACAGATAGTGTATTCTTAACAAATGGATTTTTGTCTGTTTCTTGAGTTTTTTAATATGAGCAGAATAAATATATGATTGAAGAGATAAACCACCTGCTGTAGCACGTTCAATAGCTGTCCATGCTGGAGGATTAGAGGAAAAGTAAAGCATAGCTGTACGCAGTTGTGCCGCCCAATAGTACCATTGTAGGTTCGGTAGTTGAAGCCCCTCTATTGTAGGAAAGGTACAATAAGGAGAGCCGAAGTCTTGGACACCTGTTATTCCATACAAAATTTGTGATCAGTTTCCTGAGCCTACAAAAAAAAAGTTAATGAAAGTGGAAGACGTATAGATTGAAATAAGTAAAGAAGTTTAGGGAGGATTGACATTTTTATTATACTAATACGGCCTAGCATAGAGATCGGCATTGACAGCCACCTACTCAAAGATTCGCTTGTAGACTGTACTATGGGATCATAGTTGAGTGAGACTATATTCTCAATTTCAGGAATTATTTTGACTCCTAAATATGTAAATCCCTCCTGGGTAACTGAAAAGGGAGTATATATTTTTGGGTTTTGTCCTTCATATTTATTCAAAAATAATATAACTGACTTTGAACTATTAACTTTGTAGCCAGAAAATGCTCCAAAAGATTGGATTAGGTCAACAAGTGTTGAAATGGATGTATTCAAGTTGGACAGATATATAACGACATCATCTGCAAAAAGCAAAATAGTCTGCTCCAGCTCTCCTATTTTAACACCAGAGATTTTTGGATGCTGTCGGATGGCCAAGGCCAGGGGTTCAATAGCAAACAAAAATAAAAGAGGAGAAAAAGGGCAACCTTGTCGCGTGTCTCTGTAAAGACTAAATGTTTGTGATATGTTATTGTTCATTATTATTTCCAATGTTGGTTCTGTATATAAAAGTTTCGCCCATTTAAGGTATTTTTCTCCCATCCCAAACCTTGACAAGACTTCCATTAAATATTTCCATTCAATCCTGTCGAAAGACTTTTCGGCGTCCAGTGTCAGGATTGCATTATCTTTCGCATCACGCCTTTCATGTAATATATTCAATACGCTACGTATATTATGAAATGCCTGACGCCCAAAAATAAAACCATTCTGATCATTAAAAATTAGGGATGGAACACACAACTCTAGTCTTCTGGCCAAAACCTTGCATAGTATCTTAGTATCGCAGCACATTAAAGACAGGGGGTGATAAGATCCTCTTTCTGTTGATGGTTTGCCAGTCTTTGGAACCAAGGTAATTAGTGCAGTCTGTAAAGTTGGTGGCAGAATTCCTGATTCATATGCCTCTTCAAACACTTCTAGTGATGGAGGGAGTAATTTTCTGGAAATAGTTTATAAATCTCAACAGGGATCCCATCAGGTCCTGGGGTTTTCCCACTCCTCATGTTCTGCACAGCTTCTAACATTTCCTTAACCGTTACGTGTTTATTCAGTTCAATCTTATCTTGATCTTTTATAGTTGGGATATCTAATTGGTCTTAGAATTCAGACTGTAACTGCTTGGTTTCTGGATATTCTGATTGATAAAGTGATTCATAAAATGTTTTAAAGGAGTAGTTAATTGCAACTGGGTCTATTTCCATGTTTCCATTTTCTAATTTAATCGTGTTTATGGCTCTATCTGTTTGCATTTTTTTTAATTCTCCATGCAAGAATTTTGCCTGCTTTGTCACCTTGGCCGTAATAAGATTGTTTCAACCAAAGAAGATTTGCTGCAATTTTGTTAGTAGAAAGCTCTCTGTACCTAGTTCTCAACAGCAAAAGCTCTTTATGTTTCGCTGGACAATCATTTTGATATTCATCCAACTCCAAAACTTTAATCTGAGTCTCAAGATCGATTAATTCATCAAAATGAATCTTAGATTTAAAGCTTGTATAGTTTATGATCATACCTGTAATGTAAGCTTTAATAGCTTCCCATTTTACACTTGCACTAGTTTGATCTGTATTTATCTGAAAATGTGTGTCAATGTTATCACCAAGAAATTCAATAAATTTGGGGTCTTGTAACCATTTTGTTTGGAAATAAATGACTCTCTAAGGTCATTGCTGATGTCTTTCCATCTTGGCATTGTGTTAACACACAGTTGTGTGCTCAAGAGCAACAAACTGCAAAAACTCCTGCTTTTATAGAGGAGCTCATACTGACGATGATCAGTTAATCAATATGTTTGATCAGCAGCTGCTGACTGAGGCAGAGCCTCTGAAATCCTGTAGAAGCAGCAAAACTGGATCTGTTTTTCTACACACAACTTTTCCATTTTCATTTTATTTTTGTTTAATTAAAAAAAAACATGGTGTACTCTTGCATGTTTTTGTACACTCGGGCTTAGATTTTAATCAATAAAATTATATCTTATCTTAAATAATCTTATAACCTGGGAAAAATAAACAGCTAGTTATATTATGTCCTGATACTGAAAACTCTTTAAATGAAAGAAGATGGACTTTTTTTCATCCTAGGACCATATCTGTCAATAAACAAGTGAATTTATCTCGTATAGATAACAAAGTTGAAATGAGCTGTAATAAAGCCAGCTGTAACAAAAGCACAGAGCCCTGGTCTAACCTTTACCCGCACTTCCTCTGACTCCTCGCAGGATGTGAGTGTGGCGTTCGTCATCTCGGGGCTGCTCCATGTGTACCAGCGGATGATAGACCGAGAGGAGGAGAGTCTGCTGTTTGTCACCCACCCAGGGGAGATGGTGGGCCACCTGGCTGTCCTCACGGGGGAGCCCCTCATCTTCACAGTGCGCGCTCACAGAGACTGCACCTTCCTCTCTGTATCCAAGGCCCATTTCTACGAGTAAGACCAGGAAGGCACACAGAACGTGTCGGGTGCTGCCTCACATGCACTGTGTTGGTAAATACTTGTGTTTGAATCACTGCAGGATCATGCGTGAGGAGCCGCAGGTGGTCCTGAACGTAGCTCACACTGTGGTGAGGAGGATGTCCTCGTTCGTTCGGCAGATCGATTTTGCTCTGGACTGGGTGGCTGTGGAGGCTGGTCGGGCTGTTTACAGGTGTGGACTCTGAGGGCTCACTATTTCAACAAAAAGCCTGAAACTGAACTGATCTAGAACTGTTACCATGGAAATGGTTCAGGATGTCAGAAGCATTAACACGCACTTATTGTGAAGGCTAACTCATCATTACACAATTGTTTTCCTGTTTGTAGTTGTTTTTTGCAGTCAGACTACTTCAGCACACATTGTGCTTTTTCTAAATCAAAACGTTAAGCTCAAACAGAAAAGACTTGTTTTTGTCATTTTTGAAGTTGATTTAAAATACAGTTCCCGGAGTAGGCGAAATGAGAGTTCATCATGTTCTTCAAAAACATTGTTCTCTTTGAAATCTGCTTCAGCTTGCTCTGTTTGTCTTCTTATGCTACTTTTAACCTTTAGCTACCATTTGGCTACTTTTCATTGTTAACTACTGTTTTGCTCATTTTAGCTTTAGACTACTGCTCTGCTACTTTTAGCTTTTACCTACGTTTTGCTCCTTTTAGCTACTGTTCTACCTCTTATAGCATTAAGCTATCATTATACTCTTTCTAGCTTTTAGTTGCTGTTTTGCCAATTTTAGCAACTTTATTTTTCATTTTAGCATTTGTTTTTCCACTTTTAGCTTTATCATATATTTGACAAAGTTTAGCTGCTCTTTTGATAGGTTCAGCTACTGTTCAAGTCAAGGTCAAGGTTCTTTGTCATTCACATCACATGCAGTACATGAGGTGGAATGAAACTGTGTACACAGGGTCCCAGTTACATCCAACAATAAAATGTAAAACAAAAACAGTAATAAGATCTAAGATGTGAACAAAGAATACACTAAGCACTAATAGGATAAAAACAATATGCCGAACAACAACAACACGAACATGAGTGTGTGAGCAGATGAGTATGAATGAACACAGAAGCATGAAATAAATCAGCAGCATGAGATCAGTAGCATGGATAGTCAGCAGCACATACAGTGCCTTGTGAAAGTATTCGGCCACCTTGAACTTTTCAACCTTTTGCCACATTTCAGGCTTCAAACATAAAGATATAAATTTAAATTTTTTGTGAAGAATCAACAACAAGTGGGACACAATCGTGAAGTGGAATTAAATTTATTGGATGTGTCAAACTTTTTGAACAAATAAAAAACTGAAAAGTGGGGCGTGCAATATTATTGGGCCCCCTTGCGTTAATACTTTGTAGCGCCGCCTTTTGCTGCAGTTCCAGCTGCAAGTCTCTTGGGGTATGTCTCTATCAGTTTTGAACATGGAGACACTGAAGTTCTGCCCATTCTTTCTGCAAAACAGCTCGAGCTCAGTGAGGTTGGATGGAGAGCGTTTGTGAACAGCAGTCTTCAGCTCTTTCCACAGATTCTCGATTGGATTCAGATCTGGACTTTGACTTGGCCATTCCAACACCTGGATACGTTTATTTGTGAACCATTCCATTGTAGATGTGTCTTTATGTTTTGGATCATTGTCTTGTTGGAAGATAAATCTCCGTCCCAGTCTCAGGTCTCTTTCAGACTCAAACAGGTTTTCTTCCAGAATGGTCCTGTATTTGGCCCCATCCATCTTCCCATCAATTCTATACCATACCATACCACTTTATTTATAAAGCACCTAAAACAGCTACAAAGCCAACCAAAGTGCTGTACAGACAAAACAACAGGTAACACACCAAGCAAAATACAAAATGAGGTAAATCAGAATATAAACAAAAAACGATGCAGATAATGACGACAAACCAGTGTGGAGCACACTGGATCAAAACACAGATCATCTGGTGTTGAAAGCTACTGAATAGTAGTGAGTTTTTAAACAGGACTTGAAAACCGAGAGGGAGGGGGCCTGTCTGACAAACAGGTAACTCGTTCCAGAGTCTTGGTCCTGCTGCAGAGAAGGCCCTGTCACTTCTGCACTTAAGACGAGTTCCTGGAACTGTGAGGAGCAACTGGTCCGCTGACCTCAGGGAACATGGTGGGACATACGGTTGTAGCAGATCAGAGAGATGGGGGGGGGGGTGCGACACTGTTCAGTGATTTGTAGACATACATGAGTATTTTGAACTGGATTCGAAAGTGAACCGGTAACCAGTGCAGTGAGGCCAAAACTGGTGTAATGTGCTCTCTTTTGCCTGTACTGGTTAAAAATCGAGCTGCTGCATTCTGGACCAGTTGTAGTCATGCAGTGGAGGTCTGACTGATACCAAACAGGAGCGAATTGCAGTAATCAAGCCTAGATGTAATGAATGCATGTATTACTGTCTCCAGGTTATTTTTGGACAATATGGGCTTCAGTTTAGACAGCCGCCTCAGTTGGAAGAAGCATGATTTAACGATCATGTTTACATGATCGTTAAGCTTCAGGGAAGGATCCATTATCACTCCCAGATTAGTGACTCTTTGTTTTTCTGACAGGGTTAGAGCGGAGAGGTCAATACAGTCGATGGAAAGGTCGATGCAGAGGTTTGTGATTGTGTCGTTGGGAGGGAACAACATGACTTCAGACTTCTTTTCATTGAAACTCAAGAAATTTAAAGCCATCCAGTCCCTGATGTCAGCCAGGCAGTTGAGCAGCGGTTGAATAGAGCATATACCATTGTGTCTTAGGGGGAAGTAAATTTGACAGTCATCGGCATAGAAGTGGAAGGGCATGTTGTGTTTCCGGAAAATAGCACCAAGTGGCAGCAGGTATAAAGAGAATAGGAGGGGACCCAGGATGGACCCCTGCGGAACCCCCCATTTAAGCTCTGCCTCTGCGGAACTAAAATCCTCGATGGAGACACAAAAGGATCTGTCATCGAGGTAAGATCTGAACCAATTGAGGGCTGATCCTGTGACGCCCACCCACTGCTCCAACTTAGCAATGAGGATCTCATGGTCGATGGTGTCAAAGGCGGCTGTGAGGTCCAACAGGACAAGCAGCACAGAATCACCAGTATCTGTGAATCTGAAGATGCCGTTAAAGACCTTCAGCAGGGCAGTTTCAGTTCTGTGGAGAGGTTTAAAGCCAGATTGGAAAAGCTCTAAGATGGCGTGATCCTCCAGGAAGCACTTCAACTGGGACTCGACTATTTTCTCCAGTACTTTAGAAACAAATGGGAGTTTGGAGACAGACCGGTAGTTGGAAACGACTGAGGGGTCAAGGTTTGTTTTTTTTCAGGAGAGGCTGGACGGCAGCATGTTTAAAGGACTTTGGCACCACGCCAGTGGATAAACTACTGTTTACTATATCAAGAATGGACGGACCTAGAGTTGGAAAAACTCCTTTAGTAGTCGAGGGGGGACCACATCAAAGGGGGAGCCAAAAGGTTTCAAGCTGCACATGACCTGCTCTAGAGAAGATAGAGTGATGGGTTCAAAATGGTCAAATAGAGCTACAGATTGAGGTGGGATGGATGGGTCATGAGTTGGAGGGGAAATGAGAGCCCAGGTGGTCGCAATTTTTTCCAAAAAGAAATGTAAGAAGTTGTCGCACAGCTCAGTCGAGGCTTCCAGAGGTGATGGTTCAGTGAGGTGGAGAACAGAGATAGGGTGGAGAAAAGGACACGTGGGTTGTGAGAGTTTGAGGTAATTATATCAGAGAAGTATTTGGATTTAGCAGCTTTTACTGCTTTCTGATAACGGCGCCAACTCTCTTTAAGTATTTGAAAAGAGACCTGCAGCCTGTCTTTCCTCCACTTTTGCTCCGCCCTCCTACATTGCTGCCTAATGGCCTTGGTGACGTCACTCAGCCAAGGTTCTGCTCTCAGTTTTGATTTTCTAGTTTTAACAGGTGCGATATGATCCATAGTCTTTAAGCAGACAGAGTTGAACTGGGATGTCAACTCCTCAGTGGTGGAGAGAAACACTGGGGGCTGAATTATCATTTCAGAGTTATAAACATCTGTGAAACGTGTGGCAGTGAAGTGGTTAATGGTCCGGGTCCTACGGGCAGCAATGCACGGCTTAGGAGTTAGATGGGGGAGGGTGAACTCAAACCGGACTGGCATGTGGTCTGAAAAAACATGATCACCAATAACAAGATTATTAACAGTCATATCATGAGTTAAAACAAGGTCCAGTGTATGTCCACAGTCTTGGGTGGAACCGTTTACATGCTGAGTTAAATTAAATGAGTCCAATAAATCTAAAAAGTCCTTAACCAAGGGCTTCTCAGGACAGCACACGTGCAAATTAAAGTCCCCCATAATGAAAAGGTGCTCATATTTTGGTGTGATTTCAGCCAAGAAGTCAGAAAACTCATTTATGAAACCCTTAGATCAAAGTGGAGGGTAGACGAGTGCAAATAAATTCTGAGGTGAATGTCCGAGTTCAAAGACGCTCAGCTCAAAGCTGGCGCGGGAAACTGGGATGGGCAGTTGTTTACAGTCAAAAGTTCATTTGAATATTGTTAATAATCCACCACCGCGCCGGCCTGATGGCCGCGGGGCGTTAAAATACAAACAGTTCGGTGGCAGTAATTCCGTCAAGGCGCTGGACTCACCCGGAGACATCCAAGTCTCTGTGATGCACAGAAAGTCCAGATCGTGCTGTTGGAAGTAGTCCCTGAGGATAAAAGTTTTGTTGGTAACAGATCTTGCGTTGACCAAACACATCCGGATATTGTCCGAAGTGGAGCTAGCAGCAGTGGAGTTAGCGCGCGCTAAGGGCCGCAGGTTTTCAATAACAGCCCCTCCAGGTTGGTCCGAGCTGCGCACCGGCTGACAACTCCCGTTGGTTACCTGGTCCGGGCACACAGGAAGCTGGCGATGGAGACCATGACCGCCAGCTGGAGAGGAAGATGCAGCGCGCAGAGCTTTCAGCTTCACCAGCTGACCAGCATGTTTTCCCCGGCGTCTGAAGCGATGTCTCCGGGCAGGGAGGTGAGGAGCGCAGCGAAGGTAAGCTGGCACGTCCGCCAGCAGGGGGGGG